CGAAGATACAGAAATTTAAATAGAGAAGCCAAACTTCGTTTTATTAATAAAAGACTCAACGATTATAGACAATTTTTTAATGAGAATAATTATGATAACTATAATCAATTTATTGTAAGTTATAATTTAGCTCCAAACGAGTTTGGTGAAGGACGAGATTTAGATGATATCCCAGCTACATTATTCAATATTCGGTTAAGTTTGCATAACTTTTTTTTTAATTGTGTTAATTAGGGTTGCCGTTTTTTAAAAAAAGCCGGGTCGAGTCTTTTTCGGGCCAAAATTCGATGCCCGACTCAATCTTTCGGACCGGGCAGGCAACCAAGGCTGGACGCAACTGTAAAAAATTTCACGCAGTCCGCAATCAGCAGTTGCATCCAGCCCTGCTGGCAACCCTAATGTTAATGTCTGCTTTGATATGGCTGAAATTAAGTATCGAAAATTTTAGTATAAAAGCTATTGTATGAAGATTAAAAATTTCCTTTCCGCCTTATAATTTTATTAATTTAGTGATGAGGAATTAATACAACTTGGACAATTTTTGTTAAATATTTTACAATATGAGAGAACTTTGTATCATTTATACAAACTCCATGTTTTAGCTCGAAAATTAATTTTGTTATTTATCGGGAACAGTTCAAATGCATATCTTTTTAGTTATGGAAATTCTCGGTAAGTATTTACTGTGGGCACTCTGATTAGGAGTGTAAAATCGGGCGTGAATGGATAATGGCCCAAGGTGGAATAAAAATGGCTTGTCCGTACAAAAGCACTATTTTTCAAGCGACGCCCGTTCTTCTGGCACTATTTTATAGAAGCCAGTGAATTAATTGGATTATACTAACTCGGCTAGTTCGTTATCACCTTTGTCTCATTCAGCCGATCCGCCTTTAACACATTGTACATTTTAACTTCGGATAAACTGTTATTCTTGACAGATAACCCCCTCGGACAACCACCTCGGACAACCATCTCGGACAACCCCCTCGGACAACCCCCTCGGACAACTCTAGGGTGTAACACTGATCATTTATTTTTTTATTAAAATATGATAGTAGCCTCTAAAGAGAATTTATTTATATTATAAATTTTAGACAACAAATATCAATTTTTTCTTATGTCATCAACTTTGATAATTATGAAGTGACTGCAAACAAATTACACAGAATGTTGAGAAATAAGTTTTTAACTTTCTCCACGTTGCGGAGTGATTAGCTTAAAAAAACTTTTGATATCCCAATTACATTTAAGATAATCCTAATTTGGTCAGAAATCTTCAGGAAGACGAGTTGGAGTTTTCTTTTGTTTATTGCGTTTACGACGAATATGCTGTAGAATACAGGGAGCTTATTTACACATTTAACCGTATAATGAAATTTGATTAAATATACATACCAGGGATGGAACGGGTTGCCCGACAGTGAAAAATTTTCCGAAGCCTGGCTCAAACCCGACCTGACTTAAACCCGACATCCCAGACTGTTTTACGTTTATCTTGAGGTGTCAGGATCTGACATTTTGAGTAAACCTATTGACAAATAGAACTCAGGGCTTCCATTAGAACATTTGTAGTACCTTAAATGCTGAAATACTGTCCTCGTCTCAAATAATTACCCACCCCCTATTAGTTACCTCCTATAGCCAGAGGCTACTAATTTAAACTTGTAATAAACTAGTAAATTTGAAGAAACTGATTCATGGAGTATAACAAGGGATGAATTTTTGGCTTTTGGACCATTTCGTATTGAAGACAGACCAAATACATTCAATCTATACCAACTCTTCTTTTCTGAATACGTCCTCGGACACCCCGATCTTCGAAGGAAACTTCAACAGCATCATATAAATCCACAATTAATTGCCCAAATAATTTATCAATTAAACAGTAATACGTTGGTTTATGACCCTGAATTGATGGAAACAGAAAATCTTCGTCCAGGAGTAACAATCCCAAGACAACTTCGAGAGGTTGTTTTGAAATATAAATACTATTTAGTAAATATTCCTTAGCTTTACATCCCACCCCCTCCACCTGAAGCAACTGAAAGCATTGGTGAAAGTAGCCAACAAGCAAGCAGAAGACGTCGCCCTCGTAACGGAAATGGAAATGGAGGGAATGGGCATCGCGGTCGAGGACGAAGCCGCCACGATTGAGAGAGGGGTAGAAATGGAAATGGCGATAGATAATTGAGGAGGAGTTGCCTATAAATAGGGTTGTCGGTTTCAATCAGAACTGATAACCAAAAGATTTACGGTTCGGGTGGGTTTTCGGTTAACCGAAAGGTTTGGTTCAGTTTATCGGTTCTTTTTCGGTTAAACAAAGAATCTGGTGAAACCGACAACCCTACACATAAATGTTGATTAAAATTATTGAAAGAATTGAAAAGAAAGAATAGATTATAGAAAGTTATTGTTGCGAAAATTGTATTTATTAGACACTATCTCTCTTTCATAAATCCTCTATTAGAGTGAAATTTCAAATTAAGAGAAGAATTTTTATAATAGAGGATTTAGGGTATATAAATTTGGTATATTTTTATTTTATTTTCGGGAAGATAAAAGTTAAAAAAATGTTTGGCTTATTTTTGGTTATCGTTATTTTATACACAAAATTTTAATTTTAAATGTTTTGCAATTCGCCAAAATTAATGTTTGGCGAAGTGTTTTTTAAAAGACATTATTTCCTGTCTCCTCGTTTCATGTACTATTTTCTCCCAGAATTAGACAATTTTTACTTTTAAAATTAAATTAATTTCTCTAGCAAAGAAAATTTTTTTTTATCCATCTGACTGCTAAAAAAAGAGCTAATTAAAGAGAGAAAAGTTCCGTTAAATATAAAAATCCATAAAATATATTATTTTAATTATAAGCTGCTTGATATTTATGGAAGAAAAAGGAGTAATTTTGTGTGTGTTTTAGCAGCAGGATGCTTTTAAAAGTAAAAAATTTTGTTGGATTATTATTTTTTTCTTTGGAACATTTTTTGATTATTTTAAAAGGGAGAGAAGAGAGAGACTGACTTGTTTTTAGCGGGACGCCCAATTCGGCGCGCACCCATTACGGCGCAAAGCCTTAACTTGCTGGAAAATTTCTAGCCCTAGTCATTTTTGGTACCAATCTCTTCAGTTCGATGAGTGGAATCGTTTAATGATAAATTTGGCAAGATTCTGAAGTCTTGAAGCAGGTTATGTCTTTGCGCCGTTATGTCCGCGCGCCTAACTGTACCCGTTTTTAGGGAGGAAACGGGTTTCGAGTAGTTACTTTTCTGAGAAATTTTTTTGGGGTTTTTAGCTGTGATATTTAGTTTTTTTCTTTTTTTGTTTTTCTTTTTTTCTTCCTTCTCCTTTCGCTGTAACTTTATAACAAAAAAAAATAACTCGTCGAAAAACTGGTGCTTTAAAGAGAAATTAGAAGGGAATTTATATTTATTTAACTAGCAAAACTCTTGAAAGAAAAGAGGAGAGATCTCCTTTACCAGCTACCTAATTTATTTAATATTTAGGTAAAATCAATCAGAAAAAATAATTATAAAAAAAAGTTTGAAGGCCGTTAAAAATTTGAAAAAAATTTTTAATTAAATTATTTTTGCTTCTTTTCCCTAATTATTTTTAATTAATAAAATATGTCAAAAACAACATTAACTAATACCCTTAGATTTTTTCTCTTATTTGTTTTTATAAATGTGATAATTGCAAGAATTGAACCTGAACCTAATACTAAATGGAATAGATATTATGGTAAGGATAACTGGGACTATGTTGTTTCCCTCCCACCAAATTTTTTTCTATATGTACAAAATGGTCAATCATTTTTTCCTTGCATAATGTTTTAATGAAGGAAGTGTAAGACAGGAATCCTCCTAATTTTCCGAAATCGAGAATTCCAGCCGCTTTTTGGGTCGGGAATTCCCGATTCCCGAAGTCAGGAAATTTATTTTTTTTTGTCGGCAGGATCCCTGGTGTAAGTAATTGTTGAATAGAAATTAAGGAAATTTTGTACAATTATGCAATAAAGAAATGACTGACCATTTTGTACATTAAGGAAAAAATTCATTGGGGGAGCCACCTTCTTGGTAGTTAAAAAATCACCTTAGTAACTCTATCTCACGTTACTCTCCCTCAATCGTTCAGCTATCCTTTTATTTGATATTAAATTTTCACTGATAACCCCAAACTACAAAAATACTCCGACCTTCAAGTTTAATTACTACTACCTTTTATTTACAGGCAATCCAGGAATAAAACTAAGATTAACCAGAAAAGGTGCAGAATATGTTAAAAATATAGCTGTAAAGGTTAGAAAACGTCAAATATTTTTAAAAAAATTTTTAAAGTTATTAAATGAACAATTGGCTACTTTGCATGGATTTAGAGCCCAAGTCTGTCTAAATTAATTAATTAAAAAAATATTTTTTAAAGCATCCATTCGAAGAAGCCGGAATTAGAGGAAATATATTTGTCAGTGATGTACAAACATTATCTTATCGTCCACCAACTCAATCAAATTTACATTTTGTTCCTCCACACTTTTTCCTTTTTTCGTTCGAAAATGCTGCGATAACGTAAATTTTATTCTTAAAATTTATTAAAAATATTAAAATTAAAATCCAAATAAAAATAGCTAGAAAAGATCCTTCTAAGAAAGATTAGTTGTACGCAAAAAACAATTAAAACGCCAAACTTAAGATTGCGTTTTATTAGTTAATTATTACAACTTGAATTTAAATCTTTATTATTTTAAAACTTAATTTATCTTTAGCCTTTCCGGACGTTTTCACGGCGATGCAGGCCCTTTACTTCAAATTCCCGGTACCGTATTTGGTCAACTTCAAGGTTTAAACGTTGAGGTATGTTTGTTTGTTTTACAAACTTGAAAATTAACATTAAAATTTTCTACAACTTTACAAACCTTTTCCCCAACTTTTTTACAACTCTACAAACTTATAAACTTATTTACAAACCTTTCCTATAAATTATCATATTTTCCAACTTTTTAGCAACTTTATTTTCGAACATTTTACAAACTTTTTAAAACTAATTTTCCAACCTTACAACTTTTTACAAACTTTTTTCCAACCTTTCACAAACTTTTTTACGAACCTTTTTCCAACTTTTTAACAAACATTCAACAAACATTTTACAAACTTTTTTCCCAACTTTTTTTTCCAACTTACCAACTTTTTACAAACTTATCTTCCAACTTTTTTCCAACTTTTCGCAAACTTTTTTTTACAAACCTTTTTCCAACTTTTTCGCAAACTTGATTTAATTAAAGTTTAATTTATCCCAACTTTTTTCAGTTTATTTATTTAAACTTTAATTTATTTTTCACAAACTTAAGTTTGTAAACTCTAATTTCTTTTTAATTTAGATGGCTACACAATTAAGGGCAATTGACGGATTAATTTCTGTCTCAGTTACCCATTGCAGAACAAATTTACGATTTTCTCAATTTACAATAAACCCTGAAGGGTTACTTGGCCCGATATTAAAAATATTTGAAGTTACAATTAATGATTTAATTAGACAACGAATTCCTGATCTTTTATGTAGATCTTTGAGGGATATTGTTGAAAGGAATTCTCCCCACTTATTTCAACGAATTACCTATATTCCTTTAGGGGAGCATTTTTCTACTTTTGGGAATGGAACTGACGGAGTTATTGAAAGGTAAGGGAGATTAATTAGTGGAAAATTATTAGGGGTGAATTTAAAAACGCTATATTATAAACGTTAAATCTCTCTATAATAGACTCTCTATAATAAACCCTTCTGTATTATGGACGTTCAATATAAGAGACTCGTTATGATAATTAAAACCCTTCTATATTATGAACGCTCAATATAATAGACTCTCCCTGTAAGCCCTTCCATATTATCAGCGCTCAATATAATAGACTCTCGCTATAATAGACTGCCTAAAATTTTTAAAAAATTCCAAATCTAGATTTGTACAACGCCTTTCTAACGGCTTATTTATCGATGGAAGAATGGTTTCTGACCCTGTAATAACCAACGATTATTTTGAAACACAACAGAGAGGTCATAAAATATTTTTAAAAAATTTCAATTTAAAAAATATTAGGTGAATTACGTTATCCAGAATCCTATCATTCTGCTCCCTTCTTTCCACAGCCAATTCCAATAGAAAATGATTCACAAAGAATGTTTTATTTGTATGCCTCTGATTATACGTTAAATTCAATGTTATATCAGGTGAACTCTACCTTAATGGACATTTAGCGTCATAACTCTTGAATAACCTAATCTTCCGAGAAACTTTTTATATCATTAAATAAAGAATTAAATTAGTATAAGATTACGAAAAATCAGAATTTTGGATAAATTTTGAAGAATGTTGTGGAGGAAGAACTAGCTCAAATTTTGTTAAAACTTTGAAAGGAACATTGGTTTTTTGGCCATAACTTTTCCTATTTTAAACCTAAAATTCTGATTTTTTAATATGTTATAGAAAATTTAATTCTCTATTGAATGATATATAAATCGTCTCAAATGGTTCATCCATTCAAGAGTTATAAAGCAAAAACTCAACTCACCTTCTACTTAATATATTTTTTCAAATTTAATTAATTAGGCCTTTCAACTGGATAGATTAACCATTAGAGTTGAAGAACAAAGCTTGCCAGCTTTATATCGAACTTTTGTTCGAACAACCTGTCCAGATATAGATCAAGCTGGAGGGGACTTTTTAAAGACTATTTGTGTTGGAAAACTTGTGCCAGCTTTGGGGAAACAATTTCCAAATACAACAACGTAAACACTAGAAAACTGATAAAAAAATATTTTTAAATATTTTAATTTGATAGAAAATTTGTTATGGTACCTCATCAATTGCCTGAAATGCAATTTAAAAAGGGATTGGGAACAATGGATTTGAAGGGTTGGTAACTTTTTATTGATAATCAGATCTGATCATCATTCATTATTGATGATCAGACTTGATCCATTCAGTTTGGGAAGAAGATACCGCTTATCAAGGGCTTTCGAATGATATAAGGAATATTGAGATTGGATCGAGATTAAAAATGTTATAGTGATTAAATTTGATAGGCTCTCAATTGACTCCAACCCCTTATCTCTCAAGCTTGCCTGCCCCTATCTCTGCCCCTTATCATCATTCGTAGGGTTGGGGTTTTCGAGTCGGGCCGACGTTCGAGTCATATTTTTCGGGCCAAAATTTGATGCCCGACTCGATCTTTCGGACAAAACCGGACCGGGCCCCAACCCTAACCATTGATAAACAAAAATTAAATATTTAAAAATTCTTTTCAGCACATATTCTAACATTTATTCGAGATCGCCAAACTCACAAGGATCGCCAAGTTTTGGTTTCTTCAGCTGATGGAACTGCCGATATTAAATTAAATGCAGAAAATGATAAATTTGGAGGGGATTTAAAGTTAAAAAAATTGCTAGTCCGTTTACACCGTTCAGCTATTCAAATTGAACCAGAAAGTATTTCACAATTAGCTCCTTTAGCAAAGATGTTTCTTGGCCCAGAATTGGCTAAAGCGTTGAAACAAGGATTGCCTTTTCCGTTAAAAGTAGGGGAAAGATTTATTCTGTTTTGCGGACAATATTCTATTTTTGCGGATAAAGGCTGCAGAATTTGGAACGTACACTCGCTGGGCCTTGTCCAGTCCTTGTAATTTTTTGAGACAAGTTAAAGCCCGGAAATCCATTTTTATTAAACATAATCGGCTGTACTTTAGTATATGGGTGCAGGCTTTAAATTACAAATGTTATATCATTTGAAAGAGCTCGTCGAGCTGAGTCGAATGCCACCAGTTTTAGCCCGAGGAAAAATTTTTGAACCGAGATACAGGCGATTGAAAATCGAAAAACCATAGGGGGGACCAAGCACTTTTTTGGGGTGAAAAATTCGAAAATGCAAATTATACCTCATTCGAAAGAGCTCGTCGAGCTGAGTCGAATGACACCAAAATCAACGGAATCCGACTTGATTGGACAAAGTTATGATCTTTTATTTTAGCTCCTTACCTATGGCATCTGTTGAGATTTTTGCTGCTACGGAGGCCCCAAATACGTCCAGAGCAAGGGAGATAGGAATAGGTTTATGTTACGAGCACAGACCCAGCGCCCGTAGACTCCCCGCGAGGCGCGTGCCGCAAAACCCCGCGCGAAGCGCGGGGTTTTGCACAAGCGCCTCGCCGATGCTCCATAGGTTTAGGTTTTTTTGTTATAACTTTGTCTAATCTTGTTCAATCACGGTGATTTTAGTGTCATTCGACTCAGCTCGTCGAGCTCTTTCGAATGAGATATTATTTGTATGGAAAATTTTTTATTCCAAAAATCGCCCCCCAAAAATTTTCAAATTTCGGGTGTCTGTAACTCGGCCATATGAAGTCGGATTTCGTTGATTTTGGTGTCATTCGACTCAGCTCGAAGAGCTCTTTCGAATGAGTTATAATTTGCATATTCGAATTTTTTACCCCAAAAATCAGCTTGGTCCCCCCTATGGTTTTTCAAATTTCAGGGACCTATATCTCGGTTCAAAAATTTTTCCTCGGGCTAAAACTGGTGGCATTCGACTCAGCTCGACGAGCTCTTTCAATTGATATAACATTTGTAATTTAAAGCCTGCACCCATATACTAAAGTGACCCCACATAATCCCCAAAAAATCCGAACGGTTTATCCGCAAAATTAAAAACCGCAAAATTAAAAATCCGCAAATTTTTATCAAAAATTAAAAAAAATTTTCAAGGATTCTATGAAATTCATTAACCCAAAACTAACACTTCATGATGGCTATGTTCGTCTAGCCTCTGATTTTGAGTTAAATGAACAAACTTTGCGATTGAGAATGACAGAGGCTTTTGAGAGAATTAAAGCAGAATCCGCAAATAATATTGGGGGATAATTTAATTTAATTTATTTATATAATTTATTTTTTATTTAATTAACAAAATTTAATTAATATTTCTATTGTAAAATAAATGAAGCTTAAAAATTCGTATTTAATAAGCTCATAAAAAGCCTAAAATGTCCAAAGTCAAAATGTCCAGGGTTCGAAATGTCCAAAGACCAAAATGCTCATGTTTTTATAAACTGTTATATTTATACTCTCTCTTCATTAGCAACTTCAATAATTTATCGATTTTTTATTCTAAATGATCAACGCCTCGTTGATTTTTTTTAAATTTTATTCTGGATAAGCTTTCAGGATATATCCAAAGGTATACTCTTATGCGTCACTACACTAGTAATAAGAGGAGAGAGATATAAATAAATATTTAAGCCTTAAAACAAAAATAAATTCCTCCCTAAATTCCCCCTTAAAGTGATTGAATGAAAAAATTGAAAAAAAAAATAAAAAGAAAATAAATTAAAAAATAAATGCATCAAAAAGATATTAGCAAAAATCGAGAAGCAGAAACAAAACAACAAATGTTTATTTGAAAGATTGTAAACTTGAATAATAAGAGAAAGTTGTAAAGAAAAATAAAACTTGGAAATATAATTGTAAATTATTTCCAACCTTTTTCTCCAACCTTATTTACCAACTTTCTTTCCAACCTGCTTTTCCAACTTTTTCTCCAACTTTCTTTCTCCAACCTTTTTTCAGCTTTTTTCTCCAACCTTTTCCAACTTTTTCTCCAACTTTTTTTTCCAACTTTCTTTCCAACTTTTTCTCCAACATTTTTTCAAACTTTTTTTTCCAACTTTTCTCTTTCTCTCTAATAAATAAACTTGCTTTATCCTTCCAACTTTTTCTTCATATTTCCCCCCAAATTTTTATTTTCCAGCATTGATCGATTGATGATCCGTTCCCTGAAAGATTTTCTCTCTTGCCTTTATCTTCTCTTTTTTGTTCTTATAATTATCCCTTCAATTTTAAAGTTTTCATTTTTATTTTTCCAGTCTTTCACAGCCTCCTACACTTTTTGCCGAAAGTTTTCTTTCTATTAAATATTTTTGCAAAACGGCTGTCTGAAAGGAAAATTATAAGCTGTTGTTATATTTAATTAGTTTTTAAAAACCATTTTTGTTTTGAAAAAATGCCACGATATCATTCAATACACGATGATGTTGAAGTTGCTACTAAATGGTGGAGTGACTATCCAACACAGTAAAAAATTAAAATTAAATTTTTAATGAAAATTGTGAAAATTTTAGAAAGTATACAGACATGGCTAGAGCACAAAAAACATTTAGCAATTTAATTGGGGATGTTTGGTCGAAACCGAAACGACTTGTAAGATCTGCTAGTTATACCAACTTGACGTATTACAAAGAGGCGCAGCATGATTATCCTATTAAAGTAAAATTAATAAAATAAACTTGATTGAGAAATTGTAAAAATAAAATTAAACTTAAGTTTAGAATTACAAAATAAACTTGAAAATACAATTGCAGTTGTATTTATAATTACAATTGTAATTATACTGCAAAATAAAACTTGAAATAAACTTGAAAATACAATTGAGAAAAATAAACTTTAATATTTAATTGTAAACTTGAAAAAATAAACTTGAAATTTACAATTGTAAATTAAACGTAAAATAAACTTGAAATAATTAATGGAAATTGTAAAAATAAAATAAACTTTAATTTTACAATTGTACTATACAAAATAAACTTGAAAATTACAATTACAAAATGAACGAACTGTAAAATAAACTTGAAAACACAATTGTAAATTAAACTTTAAAAATATAATTGAGAGAAATAAACTTTAAATACATACTTAAAATAAACTTGAAATTTACAATTGTATATTATAATTGTAAAGTTTATTACTTTTTTTTCAGAAAAGTACTTCTGTATCATCATTAGCACCATCACTAGCTTTACCCCAATATTATCGGCAAGCAGAGCGGATTGTTCACACCGAACGTGTTTACAAACCTTTTATGTATGACTGGTACAACAAAGCTTATTCCCAGCATCGTTATATTGACACACAACGGGAGATAATGCGACCACTTAAAAGGGACCCAGCACCTCTTCGCTACAAGCCCCTAAAGTTTGAAGAATTTACCAACCGGAGTAGCTGGATTCCTTACTATTCTGGACAAACTAGAAGGATTTATAATGACGAGGCAAAAAATAATTAATTTTAAATTAATATTCCCAAAATTGTAAAAAATATTTTGTAGAGAGCAGCCCCTCTCCGTTCTTACCTACATGGTTCACAACAATATTTGGACCGATATGTTTCAAATAGACTAAAATCGGACGATTTTGGACAGCGGTTTGCTTATTCCGCTTATGAATGGCGGAAGCCGCAAGACCATTCCTTCAACCGCAACTTTATGTATGGGGAAAGGTAATTGTAATTTCCTATTTTATTTTCAAGTTTATTTATTGTAAACTCAAGTTTATTTACAATTACTAACAAAAAATAAACTTGGAATTACAAATAGACTTGAATATTTAAGTTTATTTTTAACATTTTTACAATTGTAATTTTCAAATTTATTTTTATATAAACTTGGAAATTACAATTGTAATTTACCATTTTTACAATTGTAAAAAAGTTTATTTTTTAACATTTTTACAATTGTAATTTCCAAGTTTATTTTTATTGTATAGCAATCTTAAGTGCTTTCAAGTTTATTTAAAGTTGTAAATATTTTTATTTACAATTGTACTCTCCAAGTTTATTTTTGTTAGTAATTGTAATATCTAAGTTTATTTTTAACTTAATTGACAATTGTAATTTCCAAGTTTAATTTTTACAATTTGTAGAGTGTATGTGCCTCATGCCCGGTCAAACCCACACTCTTATACAAGTGCTTCTGCTTTGCGCAAATTATACAAGACGACTGGTCGTTTCCGTTTTGCCTGATTATGAAGGAAGGAAAGAAATTTAAATATAATTAAAGCGCGTAAATCGAAGAAAAATTGAAATTTTATTTTTTTAATTTTTAAATTTTTATAGTCCCCTTCCCTTTAAATTCAACAAATTGTCCTTAAATAAATATGCCAAATCTTATTTTTTATAAATTTTCCCATTTATTCTTTTAATAAAAAGAAGAAATTCTAATAAATAGGGACCTAATATTATTACAAAAAATTTTTTCATTTAGATCAAATTATCGTTAACCATATTATTTACTAGATTTTAAATTATAAATAAAATTTATTTTTAATACAAAAATATTAATAAATCTGTATTAAATCCAAAATTATCTTTAGACATATTTTCTCTAAAAAATTCTTTGAGAATTGTTTTAAGTTTTACAACTTTTTTGTATTTTTATTTGCATTGTCCAAGTATTTTATTATGATTTTAGCCAACATGAAGTTTAGCTGCTAGGCATGAATAAGATCTCTGATATTGGCATTATTTGATTTTACACCTTTGCAGGATGCTCTGCTGACTGACGCTACCAATAGATGGATCATGAGAGTCCTCCTAGCAGGATAGTTTTATCCGCTCAACAATACCAACTACTGACTGGCAGTCTAAATTTTTTTCAACTAAAAATAACAAAACGTAAGATAACAAATGCTCATTAATATCCACACATTTTTATGTTAGATACGAAACTTGGATTTTTGACCCATTTGCTCTAACTGATCCACATTTATGCTAGAGAATAAAAAATAAAAGTAGCTAGCAGTTGGAGGAAAGAAGCAAATAAAGAAAGAAAAATTTCTTTTGCCACCCACTCAAAACTTTTTTTATTATTCTTTTTAAACAAACAATTAAATTTTTATAAAATTAAAAAAATACTAAGTATTAAAATAAAAACTTAAAAATTAATTATTATTTAACTAAAAATATTTTTTGATTGTCCAGTAAATCCGTTAACTTTAATTAATTCATTTTGATTTTTTCTCGAAAATTTTTAGATAATTTTTTGGACTACAAAAACAATTTTTTCTTAATTTTTAAAATTAATTTTTAAATAATTTTCAATTTAAAATTATTATTCCTATTATTATTAAGTACAATAAGCACTTTAAATAAACACTATAAAATCAGGTGTTTTATATTTTTAAATTAGAGCCAGTTGTTGTCTGCTAATTGTGAGGTATTCCACCATTTCTTAATAGTTTAGTAATTGATTGAGATATTATGTACTATTATTAAACGAAAAATCTGACAGCCATTAAAAGTGTAAAATTATTTTTAAAATTATTTTTTTTAATATTTTACAAAATTAGAGTAATAATTGTAAAATTGTAAAATTAAAGTTTATTTTTATTAGCAACCTTAAGAGTATTGAAGTTTCTTTTTATCTTTTTACAATTGTAATTTCCATGTTTATTTCCAAGTTTATTCAAGTTTATTTTCAAGTTTATTTCCAAGTTTATTTCCAAGTTAATTTTCAAGTTTATTTTTTAGCAATTTCAGGTTTATTTACAATAACTAACAAAAATAAACTTGGAAAGTACAATTACTAATAGACTTAAATATATTCAAGTTTATTTAATTTTTTACAATTGTAATTTCAAGTTTCAGGTTATTTAAAATTGTAAACACTTAGGTTTATTTGTATTTATACTTTTCAAGTTTATTTTTATTAGTAATTGTAAATTCCAAGTTTATTTATAATTTATTTAAGATTGTAAATATTTACAATCTTAAGAATAATGAGAATATGATTTTAATATTTTTAGATTCAAATTTATTATACTAATTCAAAAATTAAAAAAAATATATTTTAAATATCTAGTATTATTAAATCACTACAATATTATAAATCAAAGTGATGCCCGTATTCTACAGGTTTTTCGTTATTAAATTTAAATAAATAATTTAAAAAATAAATTTAAAGAGAGACAGTCATTGACCCAGAAAATTCACAAAAATCGCCTTATAAACAACAACAACAATCTTTTTACGAATCTAATGGACAACAACATCCATATCAACAAAGTAAAACTTCCTATACTTATCCGGGGAGTGAAAGAAGTAGTGGAATTTATAAAAGAAATGGAAGCAGCAGTGCTAACACAACTACAACAGCTACAGACTTTCCTGCCAATTTCCCAAAAATTCCCCCTCCAAAGGGGGTTATAGACGATAAACAATTGGAAAGGATGGCTGAACAATTAATGAAGGGACAACAACCAACATGGGATGGGCAACAATATTCTCCTCCCGGTTGGACTCGGCACAGTCAGCAAAGCTATACAATTGAAACTGTGGTAGAATTGAATAAATTTATAAAATTATTAGGTAGAGGAGTTTAAGCAAAAGTTTAGTTAGTGGGCAGGAATTGAACCTGGGATATTATGGGAGGTATAGCCACCGGTGCGATGTCCTTACTTTCTCTCTTGTGTATCTAAAACCTCCTACTCCTCCTCCAAAATCATTTTAAATTCTTATCTGCTAGCCAATTTAGGTTGAACACGAGCCTGAAACTAGACCAATATATGTTGGAAAACATTACGAGTCTGTACCTCCAAAGACAGGAATACCACCACAAACACATCCAAAACATCAATATTCTCCTTCCCAACACATGCCACCAAAGACCACCAAACAGCCGCCACCTCTTCCTTCAAGTCAAATTTATAGGCAGCCTCAACCTCAAGAAAAGTATAATTATCAACCAACAGAACAGCAATACTATAGCAAAACAGTTCAACAAAAACAACAAATACCGCCATTAGAACAACAAAAACAGTTCCCTCCCCAACAACAACAACAAAAATATTTCCCTCTCCAACAAGTTTCTCAGCAACAAAAACCTGCTGGAACGATTAAAGAAACAACAGAAGAGAAAAAGAGTACTAGTGTTGTCGATTCTACCAACTTTCCTTCACAACAATACACCAAAACATTAACAGAATATAGACAACAAACAAAAGGTTATGATTCTCCGAAAAAAGAAGGTGCTGGAGAAGGAGGTTTGCAACAAGTGCAGAAGCAGCAAATGCAAGAGCCAAGACAAGAGGAATGGAAACAACAAAAAATAACAAACACAACACAACAATCACCCCAAAACAAGATACAATCACAACAAAAGCAATGGGAATCTATACAATCACCCCATGAAAAATGGAAATGGAGTCAAACACAACAATGGAACTCACAACAACAACCACAACAAACTCAACAACAATGGGAACAACAAACGCTTCAGTGGCAACAAGCTCAGCAACAACCAGCAGAACAATGGGGACAATCGCAACAACAATGGCAACAGGCTCCACAACAAACTAAAGAGAAAGAAGAGAAGCAATCTCATCAATGGCAACAACAACAAACACAAAAATACACTACTCAACAACAACAGAATTTGTTAAAACAACGAACACAACAACAACAGTCACAACAATATTCACCTCAAAAAGCACAAAATGAACTGAAGCAGCAAACAACTGTACAGGCACAACAATCACAAAATCTGTCGGGAACATCAAAAGCTGAACAAAAAGAAAGTCGAGAACAAAAGATTGAACAAGATGTAGGCGATGAATATGATGGTCCACCTCCCGATCTTCAATTGGCACAAGCTGATCCGGACAAAATATATGAGAAACAACATGAAGTATATCAAAATGGGTGGCAACAAGAAGAGGTAAATAAGTGAAAAATACAAGAAAATACAAAATGAAAATACAAAAAAAAATACAAAAAAATACAAAAAATACAAGAAAATACAAAATGAAAATACAAAAAAAAATACAAAAAAATACAAAAAATACAAGAAAATACAAAATGAAAATACAAAAAAATACAAAAAATACAAAAATATAAAATAAAAAAAACACAAAATACTGAAATTTAAAGGACTACAATCAACAGCCTTACCGCAGTCATCACCTCAATCAGCGCCAACTACAACAAACTCGAAACAACTACGACGAGCCCCTCTATATTTCTGCGGGGGGAGATGATGGGTACCAACAACAATACCATCAATATTACTCACCAAACTCACAGATTTATTGGGATAGCGTTTATAATGATGAATGGGCTTTAAGAGGAGCAAATCCCCCTTCTTTTACAACGGGACCAGTTTGGGGAGATCATTTGGCATATGCCCAACGTATGAATTTGGAGAAGCGGAGGACTGAAAGCGAGAAACAGAGGAGGCACCATACGTATTCATTTTGTAGAATAACTTGAAATGTCCGTATTTTTGTAGACCTGTGCCAGGTTCTGCTGAGTATGGCTACTTATTCGGAGGAATGGACTTTGTTGATCACAATAATTTTGACCCATCTATAAATGTTGGCGAGCCTTTTAATGAAATGCAAGAACGCCATTCTCGTCGTGATCTGCATTGGGGCCCTCCTCGTCGTAGAGGAGATTTCTTCGGATTGGATTACCGTACTATGCTTCCAGAAGAAGAGCAACACAGATCACATAGTGCGGAGGATTCTGCCTTCTATCAAGGATATCAAGCACTTCCCCCTAGAAAGAATTTTAGACTTGTAGGCCATTTTACTGCCGACCATAATGCTCCTTTAAATATGTGAGGGAATCATTTAATTTTTAAAAATTTCAACCCCCCCCCCCATAGAATTCATTAATCGCCTAATTTTTCATACACCGACTTTTTCTTGGACCCCTAAGACTCGGAGCACTACAAAAAATATTAAAAATAGTTACAGAATATTATTTTTTATAGAGCAGAAGCTCAAGGTTTAGACGAATTCGACTCTCAATATTGGGTTGGAGATACTCTCAGCAACCAAAAAGTTCGTCCAGAATATCCATTAACTGAAGAAGAAAAAAGAACCTTTGCTTTATTATATGGCCCTGGAGGGTTTAAACCAGATCATCGAACAGTTATACCTGAACCGAAGCCTGAAGAGCCAGTACAGTTTTCGGTGACAATAGGACCTAAGAAGGAGAAAAAAGAACAACAACCTGAAGGATATGTTAATCCTATGAAGGTATTTTTGAATTAAAAATAGAAGCTCTCCAGCTAAATTTCTAGTCCGAACGGGACATGTTCTTTCCAGCCTACTTTCTATTTCGCACGGGACATGTTCCCTCCAGCCTACTTTTTAATCCGAACGGGACATGTTCCTTCTAGCCTACTTTCTAATCAGAATGGAGCATGTTCCCTTCAACCTACTTCTTAATTATGGGAATGTTCTCTTGAACCTATCTCTTAATAAAGGGTGAATTTAGGTAAAACGGAGGGGAAATAAATAAATAATTTAATTATTAAAAAGGTCGAAGGTGAAAGCTGGATGTTGGGACAAAGAGGAGAATATGATGGTCAATATGGAAAGATTTTGCATTCAACAGCTGAACAACATTTGCCTTTTCACCGACCCAAACACTTTCCTGCACGTGTTCCAAATTGGGCTGTTGAACGACAGAATCAAATGGGGAGAGGAGCACGCTCGTTGGACCGCTCATTGTTTTTGCCTTCTTGGGCAAAGATTCCTCAACCACAACCTCCATTTTGGGTTATTATTAAAAATTAATTATTTTCTCGGTTTCTAGAGGTTTCGGTTCTAAGCCTCATTTCTGGCCGTTCCAAAAGTTGAGACTGTTTCACGGCAACCGTTTCCAGGAGCCGGGAAGCCTGTTCAAAATAAATTTCTATTTGTTTTAAAAATTATTTTTAAGGTAAAAAGAGATGGAAGTAAAGTAGCTGGGAATTGGCAAGTACCTAAACAACAACAACAGAGTGAACTACAAGAAAAACAGCAACAATTTGTTCAGCAACAAAAAAGTCCTTCTCAACAACAAAAACAACAACAACAATACGTTGCTAATCAGCAAATAATTAATTCTCCCCAACAAAAAGAAGAAAATCGTCTCCCTCAGCCTTCTCCAACCCAACCACAACAACAACCTTCACCTCAACAAAAACAAAAAACTCAACAAATTCAAAAATTGCCTTCCCCAACAGAACAAAAACAGCCACAAAAAGAAGAAACTGACAAAAATTTACAAAAATCAAAACAACAAATATTTACACAATCACAACAACAAAGTCACCCTAATTATCAACAACAAACAAATGTTACTACAACTACATACACTCAAAATCAACAAATACAGGTATTCTATGACAATCCGTATTTTCCGGAGAAAATACATTAAATACCAAACTATTTCACTGATGGATTTTGTATTTTCCGGAAACAATTTAGTTGTGTTTTTAAATGTATTTTTGACGAGAAATACATTAAATAAATTTATTCCGGAAATTGTATTTTCCGGAAACTTAAATTCCATTAATGTTTATTAATGTATTTTTCAAGGAAAAATACATTCCGGAAAAAAGTGTTTTTCCGGAAAACTTGTTTTGTGGTGCATATTTTTCGAAGAAAAAATACAAAAAAATACATTACACGAAAATACAAACGAAAAATTCCGGAAATTGTATTTTCCGGAAACGTAAAATTAAGTGTTTTTATAGAATCTATCAGAGAAAAAATACAAAACCGGAAAACACATTTTTGTATTTTCCATAATAATATTTTTAATTATTTCTAATATTTATATTTCTATTATAAAGCCACCCATCAATACCCAACATACCCAACCAGAACAAAAACCACTCCATCAAGGTTTTACTTCTGCCCCAACTGCTCAAAATCAACAACAATTCACCCAATTAATTATAACCCCTTCAAAAACACACCAAACAACATTTAAACCAGCCAAGCAGCCTCTAACTTCTAGTCAGGAACAACAACAGCAATTAAAACAGCAGCAACAATATTCCGATTTTTATGAAGGGGGAGGGCAAACACAAAAATCAGGTCCACAGCAAGAACAGTTTAAACAATTTACCAGTCCGGGAGGGCAATTTTATGGGCAACAAAAGGTCGGGAATGGAGGGAAGGCTCCGCAACAACAATATATAGTTAACCAACCAAATCAACCGAGCGGTCAATATTATGGACGTATGCCTCAACAACAACAACAACAATATCAGTATAGAATGCAGCAACAACACCCACAACTTCACAAAGGTGGAGGATATACAAAAACCCCTCAGAATTACCCTCAAGGGGGGATAGTGGAAGAAGAAGAAAAAAGTGGACTCGAAAATTTGGCAAAAATGAAATTGGGAAAATTCCCGATGAGAGAATCTTTGGAAGCTCAACAAAGCTTGGAAAGTAATAATGATCCAGTTGATTCTTCTAATATTAAAAGACAACAATTTATAAGATCTGGGCAGCCTGGGCAAGTGATAAGGGAGGAATGGCGATTTAGTTCTGGACAGCCACAAAAAGGGTAAGAAAAGAAGGAGCTCCTTCCCGCAGCTCCTCCCCCTTCTCTAAATTATAGTAGGGGAGGTGTATCTAGTATTGGGGTGTCTTAAAATGAGGTCTGACGTATTAAAGAGCTTAATAAAAATTTAAAAAATTATTTTATTAAAAAAGGACTACTGGCGGCCATCAACTACTTCAATCGTCTACCACAACAACTACCACAACTAGCTCAATAAGTGGCGATATCCAATAAAAAGAATAAAAAAATAATATATTTTGAGAGAATTTTAGGCGAAATTAATAAAAAAATTTTTTTTTAATTTTAAGAGTGAAAAACAAATATTTTTTAAATAAATATTTTGACAATTTTTTGAGTAAAAAAATAAATTAAATTAGTTCTCGATTACTTTTTCCTCACCCCTCCACCAATTTTCTATCCGTTGACCCCGTTCGTCTACTGCATGAACATCCATTACACAAGTAAAAGTAATCCCGCAAAGGGGACTGTGTGGAATGCATTTTTTACGAGGTGTGTTGTAGATGGGTGTAGGTAATCCTGTAAATATAAAATACATTAAAAATTCTGATTTTTCCGGAAAACACATTTTATAAATAAACTGATAATTCTGATTTTCTTTGGAAAACACATTTGTTAAAATAAATAATTCTGATTTATAACGGATGTATTTTAAAAGTGTATTTTTTAAAGTGTATTTTCTCAAATAATTCTGATTTTCCGGAAAATACATTTTATAAATAAATGAAAATTCTGATTTCTGTGGAAAATACAATTGTTAAAATAATTCTGATTTATAAAACATGTATTTTTAAAGGTGTATTTTCTACAATAATTTTGGTTTTTCCGGAAAACACATTTTTTAAATAAACTGATATTCTGATTTCTGTAGAAAATACAATTGTTAAAATAAATAATTCTGATTAGTGAAAAATATACGGAAAACGCATTTTTAAAAAGACTGATAATTCTGATTTTTGTGTAAAATACATTTGTTAAAATAAATAATTCTGATTTAAAAATGTATTTTTCAAGGTGTATTTTCTCAAATAATTCTGGTTTTTCCGGAAAACACATTTTATAAATAAACTGATAATTCTGATTTCTGTTGAAAATACATTTGTTAAAATACATAAATTATTCTGATTTATAACACATGTATTTTTCAAGATGTATTTTCTCAAATAATTCTGGTTTTCCAGAAAACACATTTTTAAAAAGACTGATAATTCTGATTTCTATGGAAAATACACTTCCTAAACAATAATTCTGATTTATGAAAAATGTATTTTTCTAAGGTGTATTTTCTACAATAATTCTGATTTTCCCGGAAAACACAATAATTGAAATTTTATTGATAATTCTGATTATTATAAAACACAAAATAAAAAAATTCTGGTTTACACAGTCTGTATTTTCCCAAATGTATTTTTAATAATTCTGGTTTTTCCGGAAAACACATTTTTAATTTAACGAAAATACATGTGTTACTGATTTTTCTGATGTATTTTTAGTTAGTATTTTATTACCATATGCGCAAGCAAATCCAGGCGTGTTTTGTGCAAATGTAAAGTCTTGATTTACAACAGTGTTTGAGGGCGTGTAAAAGAAGCGAAGTTTAGGTTGTTGTGAATTCTTGACATTATTTTGTGTTTGTTGTCCTTCTATTCCAGTCTTATCATCGATAGTTGGCAATTTTGGTATTTCAATTTTTTCGGCATTTAAAGGTTTTATTTTTAAATTTGGTGGGGATTGGCTTTAAAATATGTGAAAATTATTTTTAGAATTTTTAAAAATTTGAAAAAAAATTTTTTTTAATTTTTTTAATTTTTTGACATTTTATTATTTTTAAAATTAAAAAAAATTCTTTGGAAATTTTTAAAAAATTTTTTTCCTCACCTAAAAACTTTTTTATTAGAATAGTGTCTCTGTTGTTGTTGTCTTTTTCTATTTTTTCCCAACGAGGAATCATTAATCAAACCACTTTTAAAATTATTTTTAATTGCCTGTTTAATAGGGAGTGCTCTCGCTTTTGGAACAAAAATTTGTAAGGGCCTAATTTTCCCAAATTGGCAAGTATTTATATTTTTTCGTTGTCTCAACATTTTAATGACTTCCTCTCTATAATTTAATTTTGAAATTTTTGGCAAATAAAAATCCTCTTTTGACATCTTTCTTTGTGATATTCTTTGATGCATTTGTTGTTTAGTTAAAGTGAAGAAAATTGTGAAAATAATTAAAGTGAAAAAATGTGGGGGAAAAAGCTGCATGTTTTCCTCTCTTTTTAAGGTAGTGACCGGAAAACACAGAAATTCTGTATTTTTTGTATTTTTTATTTGTATTTTTTCTTGATCTTAAATTAGTGACCGGAAACGAACGGAAGATTGAATATGTGGAATAAATTCATTTTTTAAAGTTTTTAAAAAACTGAAAAAAAAATTTCTAAAAAAATATTAAAAAATATTTTTTTTTTATTTTTATAAAAATATTAAAAACACCTAATTTATTTATTTTAAGATGCCCCCAAGTTAAGGTACGATTTTTTAATTTTGGTTGAAGCGTTGATTTTTTATTTTTAACACTTGTCTAAGAATACCCTCTCTATTTACTGACCACTTATTATGGGATACCCCCTCTATTTAATGACCACCCATTTATAAGATACCCTCTATTCAAGGAACACTCATTATAAGATAGGTACCTAATATTTTCTCAGCTTCAGGGATATATCGTATAATGAGGTTTGACTGTATTTTTGAATTTAATTAAGCAACTTATTGAAGTTTTTAAGTAATTAATAAATAATTAAGAAAAAATTGGGTAAAATTAGCCGAAAAAAAGAGAAAATATGTGAGTAATTAATAAAAAATAGAAAATATCCATTCACCAATTATTTAAATCCAATTGGAAGCTAATCAACGTAACCGGTAGTTGAATAATAAAAAAAATATTGGAGGGGGGGGGGGGGGTTTGTTAATTACGCGCAGACAAATATTTTTTTATTTTCTCTTTTACATATTTTTCGGAATTTTTCTTTTATTTTTCTTTCGGAATGTTTGTTGAGATTCAATAAATTAAATTCTCCTAAAAATAATTTTTATTAAATATTTAAAAGATTTTTAATTATACTCCCGAATTTATTACCGTATTTATTCCAATAGAATGGCCGTCATTCTATTTTTCATTACCCCCAAAAAGAGGCCATTCAATTGGAGAGGCCATTCTATTAGAATAAATACGGTATATTGTTTGACCTTTTTGAAGAATTTTCCCTCTGTGTGACCTTTTTTGTTGTTTCCCCTTGTTTGGCATTTTGTTATTTTTCTTTGTTTGACCTTTTTTTGATTTCCCTTATGTAATGCTTTGAACACTTTCCCATTGTTTCACGTTCTGGAGAATTTTTGATTGTGTGACGTTTTGAGTTTTTTCTATTGTTTGGCGTTTTATAATTTGTAAACGAATTGAAAGCAATTAAAAAAATTCATTGAATTAAAATTTTAAATTTAAATTTATACATATTTCAAAATTTATTAAATAATTGGCATTCTGTTTTTTTGTATTTTTCTTTGCCTACCTCTTCCTTTCCTACACTCTCTCGTTCATTTGCAGTTTTTTGGGAGGCTTTAAGCTATCATTCAAAAAATTTTTAAATTTATTTAAATTTATTTTCTGCAATTTGTTTATGTTTTCAGTTTGTTTATTGTAAGTTTTTAAAGGTTTCCCCTCTTTATTTTAAAATTTTTAGACGGCTTTTTGGAGAACAAATTCCTTCATTTTCTCGTTCCCTTTGCACCAAACTTTTTCCAAAGCCTATTTACACACATCGGTCGGGGAGACAAGTGGGGAATTTTTTCAGATATTTTTTGTTTAATTAGGAGTTTACTTAAAATTTTGTTTTTGATTTTCTTTTGAAAATTTTCTGGTTAAATTGTCCTCCCTCTTTTTTCCTCCCCGCTTTTTCCTATTAATGTACAGAATGGTCAGACTTTACTTCCAAGACAATAAAATTACTTCTTTGTGATTTTTTTTGAGGAAAAAGGGGACCCATATACGACCATTTTACCAAATTTCTTTAAGAAAATTTCCTCAGTTTGTCTCCTTTAGCTGACCTTTTCTTTTTAAAAATAATTTTTGTAAACTCCTAATTTTGTATTTATTTTATTAATTTTTAATTTAAGGTAAAAGCTAGAATGAAAAAATTAGAAGAAAAAATGGCAGAATTGGGGGACAACTTCAAATCTAAACACGAACTTAAAACACCCAAAGGAACTCAAGATTTTGGACCAGAACAAATGGCTGTGAGAGAAAAGGTTATTGGAATAATTACTGAGACTTTTAAACGTCACGGGGCTGTAACGATCGATACTCCAGTTTTTGAATTGAGAAAAGTGTTGATGGGAAAATATGGAGAAGAAGGGTCTAAATTGGTGTATAATTTGGATGATCAAGATGGGGAGCTGTGTTCGATGCGTTATGATTTGACGGTTATTTTTTTGTTAATTTATTTGGGGGTCTTCTTGAATTTCTTAGCTTGGATCATTTTTATCTGTTTTTGTCTGGCCTCCAAATTCAGTTCAATAAGCCAAGCCACAGCTTTCCTCGAAAATAATATGTTGGCGCCAAAATTCTGGTAAATGGCGGATATTAGTAAAATACCCCAAGGTTCAGGTCAATAAACCAAGCCTAGGGTTCAGCCCAGATGTTTAAAAATTTTGATTCCTTAATAATTCTTATTTCCAAGGGATAGAAACCAAATCGTTTTATTCTCTTTCCATTAAGATTTTTCCATTTTAGGTTCCTTTTGCTCGTTATTTGGCTGCCAACAAAATTGAAAAAATCAAACGCTATCAAATTGCGAAGGTTTACAGAAGGGATCAGCCTGTTATGACTAAAGGTTTTTAATTGGAATATTTCTAGATTTAATTTTTTTAATTTTTAAAGGAAGATTTCGTGAATTCTATCAATGCGTTAGTTTAAATTTTTTTTGATAGGAATCTTTAAATAAAATTTTTTTAAAGGATTTCGATATTGCCGGACCTGGAGAATTAATGATGCAAGAAGCCGAGTGTTTAAAAATTGCTGATGAAGTGATTTCTAAATTGGAGCTTGGGGAATTTGAAATTAGGGTTGGTAATTTTTTAGATTTATTTTTTTCATTAATTTCAAAACCCACAGTTTTGACAAAAGTCATAATTTTTTTCGAACTTTTGCCCCAGATATTTTAATTTATGAATGGGGACATTTGGTTTGAATGGACACATTGACATTTGGTCGGAAAAGAAGACTTTAAAGAATTCCTGTTTTTTTTCTGTTCACTTTAATATTCTGAACATCAGACAGGTCTAACATTCGATTGGACCCCTTTAACCGTTACAAATCTTTCAGATCTTTATTTTTACTAATTTCAAAAAAAAATTTTTTTTCAGATAAACCACAGACTATTATTAGAAGCAATATTCGAAGCTAGTTCAATTCCCTCAAATTTATTCAAAACAGTTAGCTCCTCAATTGATAAACTTGATAAAATTGCTTGGGCTGATGTCAGAGAAGAATTAATTAATGAAAAAGGATTGAGTGAACTAATGGCCGATTCTATCGGGAAATTTGTTTGTATTGGAGGTTTTTTTTAATTTTTAAAAAATTTTAAAAATAAATTAATTTAGAGGAGCACCCAGATTGGGACAATTCATCCCTTTTTGACTGGTTTTGTAGTGACAATTTGTCAACCTCTGAAGAAGTCCAAAAATCAATTATTAAAGCAATTGATGAGCTTAAATTGTTATTTAATTATGCAATATTGTTTGGATGTAAAGACTCTAGAATAGTTTTTAGCCCTTCTTTGGCACGTGGATTGGATTATTATACGGGAATAATTTATGAAGTTGTGATGAAAGGTATTTTTTGGATTTTTAATTCGACAAGGGCTGGGAATGAGCTAATGAGGGGACCTATTAAACTTTGACCAAAATTTTTTGAATCGAAAATGTGCTATTTTGAGGATTTTTTTTTTTTTTGCTTTTTTGCTCGACCCCGAAAGCGAAAAGTTATAGGCGATCCTTACTCTCAGGATTCCATTAAAGATTCTTGATCGTTTTCCCCCAACATTTTTCTTTTTTTCTTCATGCGCTGTAGCTTTATTCTTCCTCTATTTGGATACGTCCTTGCTGGCACATAACCAGAGTCCTTGGCTACACATAAAAATATTTACATAGTAGCTACTTCCCCATCTTCTTTACCACTCTACTTCCCTACCTATTTGCCAAAAATTGTTAAAAATTTTTTAGATTTATCTTTCAATAATACACAACAAAAAAATAATGATGAATCAACAACCAATAATTTATCTGATAAAAAACAAAAAAAGAAGAATAAAAATTCTTCCAAAAAAGACGAAGAAGAAAATGAAAAAGAAGAAAGTAGTGGAAATATAGGTTCAGTAGCTGCTGGTGGACGTTATGACAAACTTGTTGGAATGTTTTTAAATTTGGGAGAAAAAAGTGGAAAGAAAATTAGAGATGTCCCCTGTGTTGGAATTTCTTTTGGAATTGAAAGGCTTTTTGCTATAATGGAGATGAAAATGAAAAATGAAAAGGTTTGGGTTTTTTGGGTTAAAAAGAGTTTTTATAAAAATATTTTTTCTTTTGTTTTTGTCACTTCATTTTTGGGGGTTTACTTTATATTAGGGGATCTACCATAGGTGTGCCGAAACAGATTTTTAAAAGTGAAAGTTGAAAGTCAATTTAAAAAACGAAACATGAAAGGCGAAAGTTCAGAAAAGGCGAAATTTTGGCGAAATCAGAAAAATGAAAAGGCGGAATTCACACCCTGTTACCTATGTCAATTCTATCATTTTTTTCAGAATTTTAAAAATTTTCTTGAGCCTAGGATTTTTCAATTCGGGTAGTCAGCGACTTTTTTTGAATAGGTCCTACTAACACTAAGACCCCCTACTTTCTATCTTGAAGTAACTCCCTTTTTTCCTGAAAGACAATGTGTTCCCTTGCTAATAAATATTTCTTTTTCAGGCTTGTGCAGTACGTACTTCACCTACCCAAGTATATGTTGCTTCAGTTAAATCTGGTGGAAATAATCAAAAAGATGGGGAGAAAATTAATAAACCAAATATTCTTTTTGAAAGAATGAAAATTTGTGCAAAACTTTGGGCTGCTGGAATAAGGGCTGAAACTAGTTGATTTTTAGTTTTTAATTTAAAAAAAAATTTTTTATTTTTAAAAAGGTTATAAAGGCAATCCAAAATTACTCGAACAAATCCAATTTTGTGAAAATGAAAGTTCACAAATTCCATGGCTTTTAATTGTTGGTGAAGATGAATTGGCATCAAATAGTGTTAAATTACGTTGTGTGGCTACAAGGGAAGAAACGGTTTGTGAATAAATTTTAAAAAAAATTTTCTAAAAAAAATGGGTAAATCAATTTACTAGAAAAATTAAAAAGGTGAAAAAGAGTTTTTATAAAATTTGGGGAGAAAACAAATAAATTCAGGATTAAATAAAAAATTTTTTTTTGATGGAAGGAAGAGATTTTTAATTTTTTGGGGCGTCTAAAAAATAACAATCAATCAAAAGAAAAAAATTTTTTCGTTTATAGCTTATTAGTCTCGATAATCTTGTTTATGTTTTGAATGAAAAATTGTCTATGCAGCAGAAATGAAGTAAAAAAATTAAAGCGCTTTTATGAAAATTTTTTTGTTTTTTGTTTTTGTTGTTGATGAGAACCTTTTTTCCTCCCACATTTTTGGAGATCTGCTTTATTTTATACCCAATATACTATTGAATATTGAGAGGTTAAATATTCTATTTGAATTATTTTTTTTATTAAATTATATATTGTTTTAATTATACACGCTATAAGGCTCCTTCCACAATGGATCCATGTTGACTGTCAAGCAGAGGTGGATCGGAATTCCGAGTTCCGACTTTTTGAGCCAGCTCCGATTTCCGGCTTTTCCGATTTCCGACCCACTTCTGCTGTCAAGTGTTATGGTCCATGGATTTTTATTTTCCATTGTGGGAAGGACACGTAACTCTAAAAATATACTCGACATGGATGTCATTGTTGGAGAGAGCCGTGTTTATGAGACTCGTTTAATTTTGTGTTATAATTTTTTACAATTTTTTTGGTTTAAAATGAAAAAAAAGCAACGAATTTTTTAGCTAAATGTTCTCAAATCTTTTAATTATTTTCTAAAATTTATCAGAAATTTTTTTTTAGAATTTTTTAAAAGTCATTATAGCAACAAAAAGAAAATGTTTATTTATATGCCTTGTATATTTTGGCATGATCGTAAAGGAATATTATTTATTGATGTTTTACAAAATTCAACAGCTTCAGGAGAAGATTTAGTTCCAATATATAAAATTGTCACAGCCAGCATTCAAAAAGAAATTCGTGTTTGGAATTTCCGTTTTGATCCAATTGAAATTTCTGTCCCGAAAAAACAACAAATTGAAGAGTCAAAAGAAGAAGAAGAAAATAAACAACCACAAAATGAAGATAGTATTGTTTTTGTGGATTCTAAAGGAGAAAAGGAAGAGGAAAAAGAAAATGCCGTGAAAGATAAGGAGGATGCTAATAAAATTTTGGTGAATGAGGAGAAGATGCAGCAACAAAATCAGCAAGGTTTTTGTAAAATTTTTGGGGTTTTTAACTGGGTAATTATTGTTAGAGGTCCACATCGAAGTCCTATTCCTAAAAGACTCCCCAGAGGATCTACTTCAGCTTTATCGACACCATGTTTTATTCATAAGTATAATCAGGGGATATGAAGGTATTAAAAGGGATAAAGATGGATTTGGAGGGATTAAGGGTCATCAATAAGGTCGTCAATCACCTAGATATTTGCATCTAGCTATATTTTCTGAAATTTGAGTTTACTTTATGTATGGTTTTTTAGTCATTGCTGCAATGAAAATAAAAATTTTTCTGTTAATTATTTTTTAATTATTTAGCTTCTAACAAATCTCTGTCATTATCAGTTGAATTTTTGGCCAACTTGGAAGGACACAGGTCTACAACAAATGTTGTCAAATTTTCTCCTAGCGGTATTTTTGTTTTCTTTAATTATTAATCTCAACCAGAGACCGGACTACGAGATTTCGAACAGAAATCTCGGTTGTCGAATATGACATTTGTTTATATTTTGGTTCCTAATCAGCCCTTCCAGTCCGTTCTCCTGTCTTCAATCATTTTTTCAGGTAATTTTATTGCCTCTGGTGATGCTGATGGATATCTTATTGTTTGGAATTTAGTTCAATCTTGTCTGGAAGAAAATGAAAAGAATGAAATTTCTAATGAAAAACAATTAAAAGAGCTTCAATTAAATAACAATAATTTGTTGGAAGATAATAAAAATAATGAGGAAATCCCTCCAAATAGAGAAAATTGGCAAAGAAGCAAAGCTAGATTTAGTCCACATCCTGGTGAAATTACTGCTTTATGTTTTTCGCCAGATTCACAATTTATTGCTTCTGTATCTATGAATAATTCAATTTCTGTTAATCGAACTGAAAATGGTTTGTAAACAAAATTATTTTTTAATTTTATGGGGAAATACTTTAAGGGAGAAAGATTTATTTTACTTTATCTTACTTATGTTAACAAGGGACTCGGATTCAGTACCTTAATACAAGGGATGTATTGGTTTCCCCTAAACCCGGACTTTTGACCCGCTTTTTTCATAACCCGACATATCCCTGTTTGGTACATTACTTGGTACATTAATTTCTCCACATTTAACGACTAAAAATCTTTGTGGTTGATCTAACACAAAAAAAAAGAAAAGAAAATTTTTTGAATTGGGTAAATTTAAATATTTTTAACAGGTAAAAGACTATGGGAAAGAGGTGCTTACCGCCATTTTGCTAATGGAATAATTTGGGATCCACGAGGAAAATATTTGGTAACAATGTCAACAGACAGACGTTTAGATATATTGGATGCGTTTAAAGGAACAATTTTACGTTCTTGTTGTCAAATTGAATTGCCTATGATTTTAATGCCTGAAATTAATCAACAAGTTTTTTATTAATTAAAAAAATTTTTTTTTATTAAAATTTTAAGGCTTACAAAATATTTCATGACGATCAATTGCATGCTTTTCAAAGAGGTGTTGAATTTTCTCCTTGTGGTGGCGTTCTTTTTGCACCAGGTTTTAAAGTTTTTTTTATTATTTTACATAAGAATAGGAATGGACCAGGGTTGGTTCGCGTTACTCGAAGCCCTGACTTTTTTCGATTTGGAAGCTGATATAAAATATTTTGAAAATCCTGACCCAACATTTTTCTTAAACCGTGGCATCCCTGAAACGGACCATTCTTCCTCATAAAAGGATCTTTAAAATTTGGTATCAGAAACCGACTTTGACAAAATTGGACTTTCCTACCATTTTATTAATGCGAGGACCTATTAAAAATTTGGGGACCTATTTAAAAAATTAATTTTTGAAATTAAAAAAAAATATTTTTCTAACTTTTTTTAGCTGCCCTACTAGAAGTTGGAACAAATAATATTTATGGAACTTTTGTCTTTTTTCGAAATGATCTCAAATTTTGTCGGCCAAATGCTCTTTTTCCTTCTGCCAAACCAACTATACAAGTTAAATGTTCTCCTTTAATTTACAAACTTGATGAAGGAACGAAGGAGAATTTTCTTGGGTATTTTTTTAAAGATAATAGATGAACCTCTTATAAGATACACCCAATACTAGATACCAAGGACGTGTCCAGGAAGTCCATTTCATGACCCCCGACCCCACTCTGGACACGATCTTGCTAGATACGTGTCCAGGGAGTCCATGTATTCCAGGGAGTCCATGAGCTGGTTTACTGGGTTTTTTTCACCTCTATTTAGGTTTCGTTTTTTCAAATTTAGTTGACCACCGAACGAGGCCGAAAACCCTCTATTTAAGATATACCTTGTTATAAGCTACATTTTTCCATCCCCAGTAGGTATATCTCCAGGTCCGGCTATTATACAATTTTTCAAGTTTTTCTTTCTTTTAAGTCTTCCACATCGTTTAATTTTTGCTGTTTTATGTTGGGATTCAATTTTATTATATAATTCACAAAATGAAACTCCATTCGCTTATTTTGCAAATTTACACTATGATGGATTAACAAGTATTGCGTGGACTCCCGATGGACGTTTTTTGGTTGTTTCTTCATTAGAAGGATTTAATTCTTTTATTTGTATGGATACAAAAAAGATGGGTATTCCTATTGAATTAAAGGAGGTTCTACAAGTTGAAAAAGTGCAACAAGGTTTTTTAAAATTTTGAATAATTTTTTTGTGTCCCATAAAAAAGGTTTTGGGTTTTCAAAGGGTGTTTAGGTTCCTCAACTTTTTTTGGTTTTGAGATTTATGACTAGTTTTGGAACCACCCATTAGCTTATATTTTTATTCTAATTTTGAGATGGTTTGATGGGTTTTTTAATTTTTATGTAAAAATGATTACGGCTAGCCAAAATGCATATTAGCAAACTTTTAGCGGATGGTTTTAACAATTGGTTATGGATATTAAGATACAAATAATTTTTGTATTTTTATATAATTTTTGTTAGTAAGTCAATACTTTCCTGTCTTGCTTGACCCGGTTGTACTCCACCACTCGGGGTGTGCCTCCTTTTTTAAAAATATTTTTCTGTTTTCAGATGATGACAAAGCCAACCAATTACCTTCTGATAACCTCCCTTCAACAACAAACACACCAAAACAAACACCAATTGATGTTTTATCTCTTCCAGATTCACCCAAATTGATAACTCCAAAACGACCACGTGTAAAAAGGACGTTATTAAACAATACACCACAAACACCTAAAAGGGCAAAACCTGAAGAAAATTGTTCTAGTTCTACTGTTGGAGAATCACCCAAAGTTGGTGTTGTTGAGAAGAAGAAACCAAGGAAAGTAACGGTTATTTCAACTGATTAATAATTCAGAAAAAGGTTATTTTTTGCCTATTTTTTTTTAAATTACAGTCAAACCTCGTTTTTAAATACTCCCAAAAGAATTTTTTAAACCCCAATTTAAATACACTTGCTAAAATTCTGGTTGGCCATTGGGTGGGGAAATTACTTTAAAATTTACCTCCAAATTAAAGTACCCGTCATTATAAGATAAGAAATTTTTTCAGCCCTGAGGGAGTATTTAAAAGTGATTTTTGACTGTTATTAATTTGACAAAATTTTTGCAAACAATCGTTTCTTTTTGTATGAAATAATTTTTTTATTTATTATTTATTTAATAAATTATGGCAATCTAAAAAAGAAACCGGTAATTAAAAATTAAGAGAAGGAATGTTTGGTTAATAATCACATTTTTCTTTTTATTCGTTTGGAAATTTTTTTACGAATTTGAATGAATTTTATCTGGAAGCGGACCCAATTTTGCCAAGTTTTGCAAGGCCTTATCTAGCCACTAAAATTAGGAAAATTTTTAAAAAATTAAAAAAAAATTTTTACAATAAGAGGAGCATGTAAATGAATTTCTATCCAACACGGGGTTGATGTAATACTGTTAAAAATAAATGAATTAATAATTCTGATTTTTGTATTTTCTATTTTTTGTGTTTTCCGAAGTTCTGATATTTTTATATTTTCTTTAAAAAATATAAAATTCTGATTTTTTTTGTGTTTTCTGGAATAATAAATCTAACTGTAGCTTTGCAAGGTAATTTTAGAAAATCAGAAGTATCTCAAATTTTTGGGAGAATGAAAATTCTGATTTGTATTTAAAAAATAATTCTGATTTTCTTTTGTATTTTTTCTAAAATTCTGAATCAGAATTTTAGAGAAAACACAAAAATCAGAATTTTAGAGAAAACACAAAAATCAGAATTTTAAAGAAAATACAAAAATCAGAATTTTAAAGAAAATACAAAAATCAGAATTTTGGAGAAAACACAAAAATCAGAATTATGTCTTAAAGAATTCTGATTTCTGTGTATTTTCTCTAAAATTCTGATTTTTGTATTTTCTTTAAAATAATTCCGAAATTAAATATTAAATTGCTTACTCTTGCCGTTGATAATCTTTTCCCCATCCTTTAACAAAGGACATTCTAATAATAGTCATTTTGGTAAGTTCATAGCTACTATCAAATCCCATTTGTGCACAATGATTTAATAGCTAAAATTAAATTAATTATATTTTTAATTTAAATTAATTAAAATCTAAACCTCTCCAAATTTAGCTGTATCAAATATTTTAAGAGAATATCCATGACAGAGTTTGCCTATAGAAAATTAAATTTTAATTAAAAAATAAATTTTTTAATGTAAAATATAGACTTACAAACAGTGGTAGGGTGAAAATTGTTTATCCTTAAAAAAAATTTTTTTCTAGTTAAAAAAATATTAAATAAAAAATTTATTTTGGAAATTCTAGAAAAACCCATTCTTTTAAACCAGCACTTTTAATGCTCTCAAAATGCAAGTTCTGTCCGCATCAGAGCTGTGTCAAAATTTCGATTCTTCCAATTTTCGAATTTTGAAGATATTTTTATTTCGACGCAGCTCTGGTCCGCATGCACATTTTATGGGGATATCTCAAATTGTATCAAGATTATGTATTATTTTCTTCCCCATTAATTTTTTCCCTAATTTCCCTAATTAACCTTTATTCGGGTAGAATTTGAAGACTTTATGAGAGAATAAAAATTAATTTTTTTGCCCTTTAAAAACTCTTCCCTTAAATTTTTCCTTAAAAATTTTTCCTTAAAAATCCCCCCCCCCTCTCTATTTTAAAGAATTTTTAATTTACACAAACCAACCAATTACTATTCCTCGATTGAATAAAAATAGGACTATCACTTAAACATTCAGCATAAAGTGTTCCTTAATTTTTAACTTTCAAAAAAAAATTTTTTAAGGAAAACCTTGATAAGGCACATAGGTTAATTTAACTCCTTTAGCTATTAATCTCCGCGTATTTTCAATTGTCAAATTTCTATTTACATTGGAAAACAATCCCAACGATATTTTGTGTTGTCCATTAGATTCGCCCATGGTAGGGTCTGTGAAGCCGTCAACAATACATTCTAGGGCACTTATTTTTACCTTTAAAATAACTTATTTAAATTTTTATAAATGTTTTGATTAATGAAAAATTTTGAAATTTTTTATTTAAAAAATTCCAAAAAATTTTCAAAAAAAATTTCAAAACATAAAAATTTTTAGTCAATAACAAATATTTTATTCATTAAAAATCCTTAAAATTATTTTAAATTTAAAAAAAAAATAAAAATTAATTTATTTTGGCGGAGTCGAACTCTATTCAAGAAAATTAATTTCTAATTCCCTGATGAAATTTATGTATAAGGCGTAATTAATGTTTGAACACAAATCTGAGGAGGATGTTCGATACCCACACCGGAATTTTTTATTTTGCCAAAAAAATGATATTTTTTAGAGTTTTGAAATTAAGAAAATTTTTGACCCTTTTAATTTAAAAATAATTCAAAAAACTAAACCTGTTCTCCAACTCTCCCATTCAATTCATAATAACTAATTGTGCACCAATCCTGACACGGAACAAAAGGAATTGTTGCCACTTCTTTAAAATTGTTGTTTGGATTGTTTAAAGGCGGTGGATCACTAAAACGGGGAACCAAAACTGGCGGGAGCATATTTGAAGTAGAAATTCTTTCATAATGGTAGGGATTTATACAAATATCTTTTTGGCCTGATTCAAAACAATAACGGCAACATTGCAAGGCTTTTAGCTTAAAAATAAAAGATAAATTGATGGAAAGACGAAACAGACGGAGGGAAACACTTAATAAAAATGATAGGTACTTTGGTTGGTCCCCTACCCCTATTCTCTGAAAATATTCTCCCTGGCGAGTCAACAACCAACACCAGCCAATCCTATTTTCCTTTTCTCAGGAACAACGAAGAATATTTCATTTCTAATCCTTTATTTAACGATGTATATATATGTAGAGTGACATTGAGGAGGTCTGACCATTATGAGTCTTTTGAAGAAAAAAGTGAGGGAACAAAACTCGGAATTAACAGATTAATTTATTTGCGGACAACCTTTGCGGATTTTTCCTTTTCTTACCTAAAAATGTCCTATAAAAATAAAAAAAAAACCTCATGATGTGATTGTAAATCTGGCCATCTATAAACTCTACAATAAATAACATGTGGCAAAGCTTTTCTATGAGAAATTTGTAAACGTCCATCCAGCGATCTTGGAATTGTCACACATTCGGTTAGCTCTCTTCCTTGCAAATTTAACGATTTTTCCAATAAAATGATAGACTCTTTGTTTTGTTTTTGTAATTTTTTCATTAAACTTTGAATTGCTTTTTTGGACCAACCATCATCTTCGTCACCTAAAAATTTTTGAAATTTTTTTTGAAAATTTTTTTAAGAAATTTTGGAAATGTTCAAACCTTGTTTCCATCCCAACCGCTTCATCAAACCATTCCCAAAGCCTTCCAAATTCATTAGAAAAAATTTTGATTGATAGAATTTAATAATTTTCTAAAAAAAGTTGTTGGCACTGAAACGTCCCAAAAGAGATTTATTTAAAAATCCGTTTTGTCGTAAAATAAGGCTTGATTAATAATGTTTACTATATTTTGAATAGATGAAAATTAAATACCTAATTTTTTTAAAATAGCCCCCTGGGGCTGATTTTTGATCGACCGCTAGAGAGAGACTATTTTAGAGAAAATACAGTATTTGTATCAAAATTCTATTTTTTTAAAATTAGTTGGGCCATTTTTAGATTTAATTTATTCTCTCTAATAGAGCGACTGCCGCTGACTTTCATTCTATATTTCAACCCCCGAAAAAAATTTTTTTTTGAAAAATATTAATTTCAAAGGTTAAAGAGAACACGGTATTATAAGGAAATAGTTAAGAGAATTTTTTGTTTAATTTTAGGAATAAATATTGAGAGAGAATCACGTGATTTTCAAGCTTTTTAGACATTAATTAACGGTAATTTTTGCCTTAATTAAGGGTACTGGAAATGCTCTAAAAATACTTTACACCTACATTTTTCTTTTAATTTTTTTTCTAAAACTTCGATTTTTCATTAAATAAGAAATTCCTTTTGCCTTTTTTCCCCAAATAATTTTTTTTATTTAATTTATTGTTCTTATTTTTTTCTTTTTAGTCGCTAAATTCTTGTAAATTTAGCAATTTTTAAATATTTTTGGTGAATTTTTTTACTTCCTCTAAATAATTTTTTATTTTTTAATCATTTATTGTTTAATATTTAAAAAGAACAAATACAAACGTATTTTCCTCTTCATTTTAACAATTTATTTAAAGTTACAAAAATACAAATAAAATACCAAAAGTCTGAATTGTATTTTTTGTATTTTTGTGTTAAGACTTAAATTCTGATAAATTTGTTAGAAAAAATCAGAATTTAATTTTTGTATTTTCTTCTATTTTATTAAAAATACAAATTTCTGATTTATTAAAAGGTCAGAATTCTAATTTGTGTTTTTAGTGTTTTAATGAAATACAAAAATTCTGATTTTTTTTATAAAAGAAAACACAAACAGAAATTATTTAAAAATACAAGATAATAAATTATTCTGAAAAATAAACAAAAATACATTTATTCTGATTTGTATTTTCTATTTATTCTGGTTTTGTATTTATTTATTCTGGTATGTATTTTTCAAGAAAACACAAACAAAAATTATTCTGAAAAAATACTTTGATAAAACACAAGAATACATTTATTCTGGTTTTGTATATCTGGTTTTGTATTTACTTATAAAACCAGAATATTTGTGTTTTTGTGTTTTTTGTGTTTTCTTTACAAATTTAATTTTGTATTTTCTCTACAAAACCAGAATAATTTTTATTCTTGTATTTTTAAACTTTTTCAGAATTTTTAAATAATTTTTGTGTTTCTTTTTTCAATTCCGCTGGGATACAAAAGTGTTTCTTTTTCAGTCTTAAATTCTGTTTCTTCTTTCTCCTCCTAAACTCTCGAAAATTAACTTAAAATTTTAAGTCTGCCTTTCTTTTATATTTTTTCTGTTTAAAAATTGATTGTGAAAAAAGGATTATTTTTTAAAAAAAAGTTTGACGAGAGAAAAGAAAAATAAATAAAATAAAATATCCACTAAACAATTGATTGTCACTTCAAAAAAGCCTTTTGTTATTTCTTTAATTCTTTTTTATTTAATCAATCACTTAACACGTTCACAAATATTTTAAACTTTTTTTAAATAAAATGCTGACATATGGAGATTATTTATTAAATAAAACTTTAATTTATCGCTTGATTTTTTTAAATAATTAAAAAAAATTTTTTTTGTCACCAAAAATATTTTGGGATAAATTCCAGATTTATTTTAGAATTTTCTTTTGAATTTATTAAACCCAAAAAAGCAACAGAAAGGAAAATAATCATCAACATATGTCAAAATATTTTAGTCTTTTCCTCTCTTTTACTTTATTAAAATACCAAAATTCTGATTTTATTTTGCATTTTGTTAAGGATTAGATTCTGTTAATAAAAATTGGTAGAAAATACAAATCAGAATTTATTTTTGTATTTTCTTCTTTCTTATTAAAAACACAGAATTCTGATTTGGGTTTTAATTAATTTATTAAAATACCAGAATTTTGTGTTTTTAATGTTTTAACAAAATACCAGAATTCTGATTTGTATTTTATCTCTAATTTACAAAATTAATTTTTGTTGCCTAAATTCTGATTTTAGTATTTCTTTTAATTTATTTTTATTAAATTTTAGTTGAATTAATTCTGATTTGTATTTCTACTACCGTATTTTTTGTATTAGAGCCCCATGGGGCTCTATTTTTCAACTATCCTTCAAAGTGGGGCTTTATTACAGCGTGGGGCTCTAATAGAGCGTGGGGCTCTATTTTTCAACCAATTTTTGAAAATATATAAGGGAATTTTCAATTATAATTAAGGCTGTAATATGTATATAGGCAACTGCCTATTTTTTACTCAAATGGTGAAATTTGTCACAAAAATAAATTTCACCATTGTGATATTTCTAAAGTTAATAGTTAGCGTGTACAGTTTGGCACGATTAAGTGGATTTGAGGTGGATTTAAAGCCGAATTTTATTTTGTGGTGGTTCGAATCCTATCGAGCCTTTCGATTACTATATGTATTCTGCTTCAGTCTGCACGGTCACTCCGTGTATATATCTCGGTTTAGTCCCAATTGAAGAATATAGATGTGATTAAGAAGGTATTTGGGGATTAATAAGGATATCGAGTGATTTTGAGAGTATAAATGATTTGGGGATTAATCGGATAGCGGAGGATTTCTGAGATGAATCTGCTGATAACTAGGCTGATCTCGCCAATATTTATGCTTGCCAGTATATAAAAGAATCTCTGATATCTCCTATAACATCCAAATTCCTCTATTGTAGAGGATTTGGAGCAGCTTAAGGTGTTATTTATCCCCAAATATCCTCTTAATCACATATAATATCTAGCATTGGCACAGAACATTAGATAAAAGGAAAAAACAGTATAGTATTAAAAATTAATAATTTATTATACAATAGGTAAATTTTAGAAAATAGGGCTCTATTTCAGCGTGGGGCTCTAATACAGCGTGGGGCTCTATTTTTCAACTATCCTTCAAAGTGGGGCTTTATTACAGCGTGGGGCTCTAATTCAACGTGGGGCTCTAATACAAAAAATACGGTATTTTATAATAATTCTGATTTTTAATTTAAAAAACACCAGAAAACACCAAAACAAAATGAAATGGAATTATTAAAAATATTGCTTTTACTTTCCCTAACTTTATTAATAGTTGTCGTCACATTATTTTTGCTAGCACTTTTTTGTTACTTTCCACCTACTTGTTCATTTTTATTGCCTATGGGATTGCGGAGAAAATGTAAAAACACTGTTGGCCAAGGAAATTCAGAACAAGTGGAGGTTTCTAGATCTGATGGATCTAATGGATTTTATGGTTAGAAAATTTCTTTGAAAAATTAAAAAAAATATTTCTTCAGAAATTTCTCTCAAAGGAAATCTCCCAGACAGAGGGAATACAACAAATGAAGGGCAACAACCGCCTGCTTCTGCTTCTGACGTTCCAGAAATCGTGTTAACTACTGCCTCTATGAAAATGAGGAGACTTTGAAAACGATAAACTTTGAATTTTTTTTATTTTGTAACTATAATGTACATATTAAAATATTTAAATTTTCGAAAAAAAATTTCATCAGAAATGAAGTCCAAACATTTAATGTGTAGTTAAATTGGGCAAAAATAATTTAAAGGAAATAAGCAATAAAAGAATCAAAATAAGAACAATCCCCCCAAGTAATAAAACAATTGCACATTTAAGTCGGTTTGACGATTTTTTATAGGTTACAGCTTTGTTCATTTGTTTTCGAGCTTGATTAGTATATTCCAATGCTGACTGTACATTTTTGTCGACTCTATCCACTATTGTACCCTTAAAAATTAAATAAACTTGAATTAATTTACAAATTGTAAAAAATAAATTTTAATGTGAAATATTTACAAAATAAACTTTATTTTTTACAATTAAGGTTTAATTTACAATTTACAAATTAATTAAAGTTTATTTTGTAAAATAAAGTTTATTTTTTACAATTAAACTTTAATTTATAACTTAGAAAAATAAACTTGAATTGTAAAAACTTTACAAATTAAAGTTGAATTGTAAAAAATAAAGTTTAAACTTGAAACTTACAAAACAACAAAGTTTAATTAATTTACAATTTGTAGATTGAATTGTAAATTAAACTCTTACTTAAATAAACTTTAATTTACAAATTGTAAATTAAATAAATTGTAAGAAACATTAAACTTGTTTAAAACTTACTTGCGAATGTACCAAAGCTAACATATCACCAAAACACTCGTTTAATTCCCCAATACTCTTTTCTAATTTTACCAATTCATTATGTCTGTCAGATGCTTCTTCTAAAGCCAAATGAGCAGCCACATTCATTGGGTTAATATTTCGATAAAAAATTTGTTCAGATTTTTCCTCCAATAAGTGTTCTACATCTTCCTGGTTCAACGGCTCTCCAGCAAGTTCTAATTGTCTTTTAACTCTTTCTTTAAAAATTAAAAATTTTTTTCAAAGAATTTAAATCTCCCCCTTACTAGTTACTCGTTGTCGATAATCTTCTCTCGATTTTTGAAAAGTTTCGAGTATTTGACAAAATCTTCGTTTAAGTTGTTCAACTTGATTTAAATTAATTCTTTGTGTAGCATTACTAGTCAAATTTAAACTTTTTTCTTGTTGTTGTTCAAATTCAAGTTTTTGCAAATTTGTTCTCAATTCTCCTACAAGTTTGCGAAATTGATTAATAATAAAATCTAATTGTTGTTTGTCTTGCGGTTCTGCAATTGTTCGGCAAAGTATAGTTTGTTGAACTTGCAGCATTTGTTTAATAAGACAATCAATTTCATCCAAACATGAATTCATTTGGGCAATTTGTTGAAGAAAGTAATCATTGTTGCCGAGTTGTAAATTGTTTGTTAAGCCGGAAACAGACAATTCAGTCGGTGAACGGAGTGAAGGACGAGCCTTTAATTAAAACAAACATTAATAAAAACAAATTAAGTTTGTAAAACAAATTCTACTTAAAAACAAGTTTTAGTAAAAAAATAATAAATTAAATTGTAAAACTTAAAATTAAGTTTGTTTTGGCTAAAAATGTTTGTAAAACATGTTTGATTAAAATTAAGTTTGTAAAATAAGTTTGCATTAATTCAGGTTTTAGTAAACAAAATTGTAAAACATGTTTACCTACAATTAGGTTTGAAAACAAGTTTTACCTAAAATCAAGTTTGTAATTTCAATTAAGTTTTAAAAAACTTAAAGTTTTGTTTAAGTTTTAAATTAAGTTTGTAAAACAAGTTTTAGTGTTTTACACAACTTGCAAAACAAAACAAACTTAATTTTATTTAAGTTTTAATCATGAAATAAAAATATTAAGTTTGTAAAACATGTTTACAAACATATTTTTAAGTTTGTAAAAAAATAACAAAATAATTCCAACCTTGTGCAACTCTTGCAGTCTATCCTTAACCATTTTTCAATTAAAATGTTTTGGATATTAAAATAAAATTTTTTATTTATTTAAAGCTTAAAAAATTTTGTTTTTGTTCAAAAATACAAATGAAAATGCTTTTACAACTTAATCTGAAAAAAATTGGGGCAGATGAATCATTTAGAGAAAGGAAAAAATTATTGAATATTTTGAGTCAGATGGTTGACAAAGAAATTTAAAATAATAGAGAAAACATTGTGAATGAGAATATGTTTACCTCTTCATGTTTCTTTTTTACCCTGCGTGTATATTTTATTTTTTACGAAAAAGAGAAATAGTGGGAATGTAAAGGTAGCGCGGCTGGCAATAAATAAAATATTTTCGAAGAATTTTTATGTGAATTCGAAAAAAATTTTTTTTATTTAATGAATAACTGTGAAAAATAATAAAAATATTTTTTTATAATTTTTAGAATAAAAGTAAATGCTATTTAATATTTATTCTTAACCATGTTTTCAAAAAAAGGGTATTTGTGTAGTTTACACCCCATAAGCCCCGCCCCTTTGTCCTTTTTTCCTCTTCTTTATAAAAATGTTTATTAAAATATTGACCCAAACGGTCATTATATAGGAGATAAAGCGAAAAAAAGGCTGAAAGAAAAAGAGGCGGGGCTTATGGGGTGTAAACTACACAAGTACCAAAAAAGTTCTATTTAAAACTACGAATTGTAAAATCTAGGCTTGTTTTCATGTTTGTTCCCAAGTCTCAACTATTTAAATCACTCTTTTCTCTTGTTGTGTTTATTCCACTTGCTTTTTGTTCCAAATCTTGTTTAATTGGAGGAAACTGTTGTTGTTGGGAAAAATAATTGTTATAATTGTTTGGATAATAAGAAGCTAAATGACTAAACATTTGATTTGTAGTTGTGTTATTGTGATTACTGTATGTTGGTATTTGTGTTAATTGAAGAGGAGGATAGTTGGAAGAAGATGAGGGTGATGAAGAAGAAGACCAGAAATCTTTAAAAAATATTATTTTTAAATTTCTAATTAATTTGTAAAAAATATTTACACAAATATGAAGGCTTAAAGAGTTTTAGTAGAAGAAAATAAGTTTGTAAAACATGTTTCAAGTTTGTAAAAATTGGTTTGTTATAAACATGTTTTATTAAAAAATATGTTTGTAAAACAAGTTTTATTTAAAAATTCTAAAACAAGTTTTATGTTTTTATGAATGTTTTATCAGAAAACAAGTTTGTAATATGTTTTATTAAAAAATAAGTTTGTAAAACATGGTTTGTTAAAAAACAAGTTTTGAAACAAGTTTTATTAAAAGAAGTTTCATTAAAACATGTTCAAAGTTTGTAAAACATTTTTTATAAAATAAACAAGTTTCCAAAATAAGTTTTAGTAAAAACAAGTTTTGAAAATGTTTTGTAATTGTATGAATATTTCTCAACAAACAAGTTTGTAAAACAAGTTTTACTAAAATTAAGTTTGTAAAACATATACTAACCATTACTAGCACAAAAATTACTAGTTTGAGGCTGAAAATAATTATAATTTGCAGCCATCTGCTGCATGAGAGCATAATAATCTGTATTACTATTGGAATTATTGTTTAAATAATTATTATTAATTAAATAATTATTATTCCATTGTTGATTTAAATAAAAATTTGTATTATTTTCTAATTTTGGTAAAAGATTATTTTGTTGATATGTTGGGGTAGTTGTTGTTGTTGTTTGTTGTTGTTTAATTTGTTTTGTTTGACAAACAAGTTTGTTTGGTTGACTTTGTAAACTTGTTGTTTCTTTCAAAACTTTATTAATTAATTCGTTTTGCTCAACAACTTGGTTTGTAAAACATTTTTTATTTTTAATTTCCCCAATGTTGCTCTTAAATGTTTTTGGCTCTTCTTCTTCTGTAGCGTCCGTAGACTCTTCTCTTTTAATAAAACTTGTTGAAGCTCCGTTATTATTTATATTTGCCGTCCTTTTTCTGTAAATTTCAGCTTCGTTTCTCATTTTCTCAAATTTACGTTCATTTTGCATCTAAAAATTTTTGCGATTTTTTTATTTTAAGGAGATATTATTTTTTAACCTTTGCACGTCTGTTTTTGAACCAAACCTTAAAATAAAACATTGTTTTTAATCAACTTAACGTTGGTTTAGTGCTTATAAAATTGTCAAAAGATGAAAAATATTTCTTAAATTTTGCTTAGTTATGTAAAACTTCTCCAAAAATTTCAGAATTTTTGGTCCAGTATCTCAGAAATTATAGTTAAATAAATCAAATAAAGGGAAACATTCATTTTTGTCATAACCTTTAGAATAAATGACCAAAAATTTTAATATTTTTAGTAAATTTAGTTAATACTATCATTTATGGCTCGACGAAATTTCACGTTTCTAGGTACTCTTATCTCTTATGTACAGACAATCGCTTAGGCGACACCCTTATTTTAACTCAAACAAGTTTTAATTGTTTTGTTTATTATCGCAAACTTCAAAACAAGCTTTGTAATTCCAAAAACTTGTTTTACAATTTCCTCTTTGCTTAAAACTTTTTTACAATTGCAACTATATTTAGATAAACTTCCCAGCTTAATTTATTTTTACCTGTATTTTAACGTCAGTAAGATTCAATATTCTAGCAATATCTTCCTTTTTAGCTCCATCCGGATATCTATTATTTTTAAAAATATTTTCCAAATAATTCAATTGAGAATCTGTATATTTTGTTCTTTCCCTTTTTGTTGTTTGTTGTTGTTGCCCACAAAAAGTAATTAATTCTGTTTTTGGGGTTGTTAAGGTTTTTGTTGTAGAAAATGCTGAATTAATTAATGATGTTGTTGGAGAAAAATAATTTTGATAATTATTGTAAAATTGTAATGAATTTGTATTTGCTATTGTATTTAATGGATAATTGTTTGTAATGTTTTTGTCATTAAAAGTGTTTACAGGAGTAGAAAATAGTGGGGTTATGTTAAGCTGGGAACTTGAAAATATTTTTTAATTATTTTATTTTAATAGAGGGTTGCAAAACATGTTTTTCAGACAAACTTATTTTTAAGATTGCGAAACTTTTCTAAGTACAGCAATTCAAACAAGTTGGAATGTTTTTATCAACTTTTACAAACTTTAAAATAAATTTAAAACTTCTTAAAAACATGTTTTTAGACATTAAAACTTATTTTTAAGTTTGCGAAAAGTAAACAAAAACATTCACAACTTTTCTAAGTTCAAACAAGTTGGAATTGTTTTTGTCTACTTTTACAAACTTAAAAACAAGTTGGAATTTCTTAAAAACATGTTTTACAACTTTTTCTACGTTTAAACTAAACTTGTTTTAAATTGTCAAATTTGTAAAACATGTTTTTAGAAACTTATGTTCTTACAAACATGTTTTTGTTTTTATTAAATATTGTTTTTTTTTGCAAACTTAAAAACAAGTTTGTAATTTCTAAAAACATGTTTTACAATTTTGTTTTTGTTTAAAACATTTTTATAAACTTGTTTTGGTTTCTATTAAATATTGGTAAACTTGATACCTTGCGACGGCCGGATTATTGTTAATTGCTCCAAAATTAACAGCCGCATTGATCATTCCCTCAAATTTATCTTTTGATTTTTCCTCTTCTTTTAAATAATTTTTATGATTATTTATATCAAAAATGGAATTGGCCAAAGTAAAATTATTTGAATTATACATTTATTTATTTAATTAATTGGCACAACAAAAAATACTGAAAAATAATACAGTGTTTTAATTAGTTAAGTGAAGTAGAAAAATAAAAAAAATAAATAGAAAAAGAAAAAGAAATGCGCGAGATATTTTTAATGAGAAAATTGAGAGAGACGGTTATGTGAACACACTTCAGTTAAAAATTCATAACTTAGGAATGGATTAATATTTTTTAATAATTTTTGCTTCAATCGATAGAGAATTAGTTTCTCTACAAAATAGTAAAAAATCAAAATTTTATTCAATTTTTGAATAAGGTTATGGCCAAAAAACTAATTGATTTTGGAGAAAATTGTCGATTTTTTTTAGTTTTTGGACTTCAACTTTTGTTTAAAAATATCATCATAAGTTTGTGAATTTATTTATATACCCCTTAAATGACTAAAAAATAAATGAAGGAAGAAAATGAGGATTAGAATTTAAATGTTAGTGCATTAAAATTGCCTGTTCTAACTTCCTTTAAATAAAAAATGAATATTGCCGTTATGAGGGTTAGGGTCATTCAGGGAATATAAGAAAATACATACGATAATTGTGATCAACATATTTTACCCCTATTCATAACATTAGGGGAAGATTGCTAAATAAAATTAATTATCATTTGAATATTCACTTCTAATTGGCTAATTTTAAGAAATAATTAAAGCTAAACAGAAAAAAATATTTTTTTTATTTATTTCTACTCATTATTTAATACAAATATTAATTTATTTTTTATAATATCAATACAAAAAATCAAGCTAAATTTTCTTTATTAGCGACTGAATATATAAAATATTGGTATTGAAATTTATAAGGGTATCTTTAGGATTACAATAATTAAAACTTGTTTTACAATTAAAAATAAACTTGGATTTACAAATTAGCATTTGATAAACATTTTTAAGATTACAATTAGGTATTAAAAATAATAAACTTGTTTTACAACTATTTAAATTAAATAAACTTGAACAAACTTATAAAATACATATATTTTAAAAGTGAAATAAACTTGAGCATTTTACAATTACAATTATCACATTTAAATTAAATAAACTTGAAGCAGTATTAAATAATTGTAATATAAAAGGGTACTAAACTTGTTTTACAATTACAATTATGAAGAATAATAAACTTGTCCTACAACAAGTTTATTTAGTTTCAAGTTTTTTACTTTAAATAAACTTGAATTTTTTTACAATTTACAATTATGAATTATAACAAACTTGTTTTACAATTGAATTAAAATAAACTTGTTTTAAAACAGTCTTATTTAAATTAATTGTAAAACAAGTTTGTTATAATTCATACTTGTAAATTGTAAAAATTTCAAGTTTATTTAAAGTAAAAAAAACTTGAAACTAAATAAACTGAAGAGAACTTGAAGCTGTTTAAAATGAATCCAATATAAATTATTAACAATTGCTTCACAAAAATAAAATTTAATAATTATTGATATAAAATAATTAAACAATAAAAACATATCTTTTTTATAAATTTTATAG